TTTCCAGCTACCGCAGCATATTCCCTTCACGGACCACCAAACGCAGCAAACTCTAACGGAAACGCAAGGCGAAGATTCGTGGCCAAATTCCCTCGTTCTTCCGCCTCCGCCAAACGCACTCTCTTCTCTCATTTGGCCAGTTGCCGGAGCGCCAGCGATTCCTCCTCCTCCTGGTCTTCCCTTGTGCCTCCGTCGCGATCAAGAATGGAGAACTCCGTTTCCATCTCCGATCATCACCTGCCGACGGTCATGATCACCAACGACGACGGTATCGACGCGCCTGGGCTTCGCTCCCTAGTTCGAGTCCTGGTCTCCTCCCGTCGCTTCCACGTACTGGTTTGCGCTCCTGATTCGTACGTTTTTTTCATCATTTGCGTTCTCGTTATTTCCTTCTCCGTTAGTCTTTTGATTTTAGCTGTAGGTATAGAATTGCGATGGAAATTCAATTCGAGTTCCGAGTGGTGAGAGTTGGAGTGGTGATCGGAAATTCCTGTATGAATAGCGATTGATTCTGAAGTTTGTGAATGGCGGAATTAGATTTCATCGGTGCTTTATCAGCTAATTAGCTACAAACAATTTGCAGAGAGAAGTCAGCCGTGAGCCACAGTATTACTTGGCGGCATCCGATATCAGCTCAGCGAGTGGAAATTGATGGAGCGACGGCCTATGGAGTTTCTGGTTGGTATTATTTGAGCTCTTCCTAAACAATATTTGATCTCTGAGTAATTTTTGCGGGAGAATAAAGCTGGCTCTGTGCTGTGCAGGAACTCCTGCTGATTGTACCTCCTTAGGAATCTCCGGAGCGCTGTTTCCTTCAGTTCCTGATCTGGTAGCTCTCTGCCTGTCATCTCCGGCTTCAAAACTGACACTTAGAAGAATGCTGTTGATGATTCTGTTCAGACTTTCAGATTCCTTCTTGGTTGCACAGTAGTAACTATGCCATGGATGATGCTTGCCTTGGGCTTAATTAGCCAACTAGTGACTGAGAATGCCTAGTCTGTTTTATGTTTTTTGTGATGAGTCCTACTGCTTAGAACTTAGAAGTTGTGGCGGATCCCCTCGTTGTTTATTGTGCAGTATCTGTTCCCAAAACAGTGTCGCTCTTAAGTTTACTGTGGGTTACAAATTTGATGTACGCAGGTAGTAAGTGGCATAAACATGGGGAGCAACTGCGGCTATCACATGTATGAATCAGTTACCACTTTCTTGATTTTTATCTGGTGCACTTAGCAAAGTATTTAAACATGAAGTCCTAGAAATTACGGGAGGCTATGATTACCGCATTTCTATACTGATGAGTCCCTTGTTTGGTATGCCAGTGTGTACTCCGGCACAGTTGCTGGCGCTCGTGAGGCCTTCTTTAACGACATCCCTTCCATCTCCGTGTCATATGATTGGTAAGATACACTCTATGTACAATTATCTTTCCCATATTGTGGTAAATTTATTTACTGTTAATCTAACTACACCAGATTTGTGACAACAGATTGCAGAGTACTAATTAGTTTGTATGTTCCTAACTGTTCCGCATCTGTAGGGTTGGGGGGAAGAGCAGTGTTGAAGACTTCACTCTTGCTGCTGAGGCGTGTATACCAATTATAACAGGCATACTTGCTGAAGTTAAAAGTAAAAAATATCCATCTGGGTGCTTCTTGAATGTAGACTTGCCCACAAATGTTACCCAGCATAAGGTAATTTCAAGCATAACACCTTTGAATATGAAACTTATAGAGGATTACTCCACCTCCTGCCTTTGTGATACACCTTGATTTTATTCTTGCTGATGTGTCTGGAGAGCGGGTTCACAGTAGTCGCTTTATGTTTGAATCTGATGACAATAAAATGTCCGGAGGAAAGGGGGAAACTGATCTCAAAGGCTTGCTTACGGTTTAGGTGTGCTAGACTGTTTACATTGGGTTATGGGGTCTGATACCGTTTGCCTGCCACTATGACTTCTTTGACAATCTATTTCAAGCCACATCGTTTCATAATTCTGGGGTGTGTTATCTCATTCGTTGGAATAGGGGTATAAGCTCACCAGACAAAGTAGAAGCATATATAGAATGGGATGGAAGCAAGTTACTTCTACCACACAAGGAGGGAAAATGTTGTCAACAATGACAATGGATACAGATGGAAAGATGCAAGCGGAGGCTGATACAAAGGATGATGCATCACAAGGAAATCTTGTCTTCAAACGAGAAGTCAGTCCCTTTCTTCCATACCTTAATCATTTTTAACCAGAGTTTTTATATTCCTCTTGCAGCTTAGAAAGTGGGAGTTCCTTTCTCTTTACCAAACAAAGTTCCACTGTTACATTTTTAGAAAGATAAGATTTGTTTACTTGAATTTGATTTCTCAGGTAAGAGGAGCTCAAATTGTTGAAGATGATACGGACCACAAATATCTCAAGGATGGATATGTACGTGTTATAACTTAATCTATTATCTGCTTTTCACATAAATTTGTGAATTGTAATATGAAAGACATTGACTATCTTGCTATTCCTCTCTGGTTCAGATTACTGTAACTCCCCTTTCGGCTCTTTCCCCTGCTGACGTAGGTTGCCACACATACTTTAAAGACTGGTTACCGAGTGTAGTTGACCACACATCCCCTTCTGCCTTATAAGATGCTGCATTTTATTGGGAAAGCCTCCAAAATGATACACAATATCCTGGTGAGTAACAAAATTCCTGCTCAATGTACTCATTGGTAGGTGGAGCATCTTTTATGAATTGGGATTTTGGGTAATTATACAAGTCCTGTCTCTGTAGATGAATGGCTATTGGTACTTTCATTTCTCTTTGTTTCAACCTAAATGTCAGTTCTGATGTCACTTCAACCTTCAGCTTGTCCTTTATTAGCTTGCGAATTGAGATTCATTCTAGAACGTCTTTCTACGTTTATTCGGCTAGACTCGTCACAAGTGCAACTCTTTTACTCTTCTAATAGCTATATACGACTCCTGCGATCTCCATGCAAAAACTGATGTTGCCAGGTTAATCGCCATATGACTCTTGTGATAAACCCATGCTGGCTTTGTCAGCGGCAAGTAGTTTAGCCGGTACAGTATCACGAACACTGCTTCTAGCTCAAAGCACAGACATTTGAAGTAGAAACTCATCCATCTCATTGCAGAAGCTTCTCCGACAATCACCGACGCGAACAGCCTTTTCCTTTAGCTCTTACATTCCGTCTCGCAGCACTTCAGTTACTTTACAGATGCTAATCACCAATTCATGATTGGCTTTTTTTCTCTCCAGGAAAACCAAAGAGAGAGAGAGAGAGGCGTTCAAACTTTGAAGTAACCCTGAAGAAGTAACATCCCCGTCGGTTATTAGTTCGTTAGTTACTATCCTGTTGCCCAATTTATTCCAGCGCTGCATTAAAATCGCCCACCACATGAGTGAACCGACAGCTCTACCATTGGAATCAAACGCCTCAGATTTAGCAGTTTGCTGTATTGAAAACTCTTTGTTTTATCATTATCAGTGTGGTGTGCGATTTCTGTTTGTTGACATGATGCCTAATTGCCTGGGCGGTGTATTTGTTGGACTTTCCACAGGGTGTTGTGTTCGGCCTAAACAAGGAAGAAGCTACCTTTTTTCTTCATTATCGTCCTCTTCAAAAGGTTTGGTCAAGATTTTTTTTAAAAGTGACGTGGACAGTAATGGACAGCGACTACCAAGATGCTTGACTACCAATACTCAGCTTTACCTACACGGCTACGTACTAACCAACACCTGGCTTAGTACTCTAGTGTCATTAATCACCAAAACCCAACTTTAATTCAATGTCTAATCAAATGAATGACAAAGAGAAGGAACCTCAATGGTAGTAGTCCAAAGGTAAAATAGTTGTTTTTATTGTAATTCAAGAGTGAATTTTAAAGAATTACATTACATTCGAATAATCATAGTTCAGATGTTAGACATTAATCTCAATTCAATCGTGTTGAATAACATCAAATTGTTGACCACTGACCTTTTAGTGACTTTGATTTGCTCATTCTATAACATGTATAGTTGAGATTATTGTATTCTTGTGATATAGGAGTGTTATTATTAGTCTCAAATCCCGTTAGATATCTTTTTCTTCGATTCAGTTCTTCCACCACCATCATCGTGAACCGCAATTAGATTCAGACATGGTAGTAGATGAAGCTCAAAACCAATCAATATGAATGAACGGAGTGAAGTGAAGTGAAGAAAGGCACATCAAGGATTGGCAATGGTGGAAAGAATTAGGGCAAAACAAATTGAAAACCTCATTCATAATCACATAAAAGGCAGATGTAGTAAATTATGGGGTTCTAATTCATGTGCTGTCCAATCCCTACAGATATCTTTTTTCGCAAGTCAACTTCAGTAACCATACATGAAAAAAGAAGAAAAGAAGAGACAAACCGTCTCTCAACTGCTGAAACTGACAAAGCAACTATCAAGAAGAAATCTAGAAACACAATCTAACAACAACCCCAATGATCCACCCCACCAAATTTCCGTTCATCCAATGCCCCTTTTAGGGTTTTCATTTCCGTTTAAGCATTGCTCCCATGGAAAATCCCAAAAACGCCAGAAGAAAGGATATACAAGAAAGGTTTGTTGTTTTGTTCTCTCTTCTCTAGTATGTAAGTTCATACCGTGACAAGAAGCTTAACCTCACAAACAAGGGCATGGGAAAGCCCAAAAAACAGAGGAAACAGAGGAAGAACCAAAAAAGATGGGGGGTGTTTGTGTATATAGTAATAAAACACAATTATAAATACACGATATAATCATTATGTACAAAAAGATAAGAGTGGGTTAAGCTCGGATGTGTGTCTCATTTCCGCCATCACCATGATTCAGTTCTGCAATCTGTACTGGTATGGAGAGTGTTTTTCGATGTTCACTTCCCCTGCTCATTGCTTTGATGGCTGCGGCGGCGGCTGCAGAATGTGAGGGGAATTGGCCTCAACCAGTATCGACCACAGAACATGAACATCCTCGTACGAGCACGACTTCACATCATCGTACAAAATGTATATCCCTCTTCCTGCGAAGCGAAAAGAAAAGCTCGATCAGACGAATTGCACGATGACGATGATGAAATGGGAGAAACAGAGTAATGAAGCTTCAATTGTGGGAGAAGTAAGTAAGAGAGACGAGAGGGAGGAGAAGGAGGAAGAGGCTACGTACTGTTGTTGGAAGTGGTGTGGAGGCGGAACCAGAGCTTCTTCAATGGGGAGAAGAGGGATTGAAGCCACCCCATCTAGTTTTTTTGTGGGTGGTGAAAGAAGAAAAGGTTGGGTGTGGGTAGCTTGCTCTCGGTTTTGTAGGTGCCTACCAATTTTATTATTGGAGAGGAAGAGGAATAGGAAGAAGAAGAAGAAAAATATACAATACTTTTCACCTTTAAAAAGAGAAGAAAAGAAAAAAAAATTAAAGGGACAGGGGAACCGCCAAAGGGGGTGTTTGCTTAGACTTGGGTGAATATGTACACCTACACATAACACATTACTACACACACCATAACGAATCAAAAACCAGCCTTATGAACCAAAATCAAGTACATGTTACCTTGTGAAACAATAATGTTTCTGGTAATATGATGAGGTGGAGTAAGTTTCATAGAAACCGAATTCAAGAAAATCGAATAAAAAATCGCCTATCCCGCTTGTTTTCGGGAAATGAGCATCTCACAATCATTGCTAGCTTTTACTCGGCCCGTTGGCCGATTAATTTTCTTTATAAAACTTTCATCTTGTCATCATTGTGCTTTCTGGTTTTTTTACCAAGTCATGATAAAATCTAAAGAAATCAAGAATAAACAACACGATTTGGGATAGGAACCACCGTTCTTGTATCCCTAAAAAATGGTGGTAAACACGTACTGACCTCCCAAACTGAATTGGATTGAGATTTTTATCGGGTATCAGGGAACCATGTGATTATAAATTAGACTTGATCAAAACGGGCCAAAACTTGAAATTCAGCCTGTTTGACTGACCCATGTCAAACTCTAATTATTCTTTACTTTTAAACTTTCTATTTGAAAATAAAAAATAATGAAAGAAAAGAGATGAGTGCAACTCGCCATTTGCACATCACTGATTCGGGAATAAAACTATAGAATTTCAAAAGGAAACTGAAAATGTTTAGGATCGTTTTAATGTTAAAAATAACCAAATAGATCTTTCTGTTTAGTTTTTTACTAACAAAAACCAAACGATTCCCTATAATATACACTATAATTTAATCATTATGATATCAAATAATTACATAATATATATTTGAAATGATAAAAATTGGACTAATTGGGTTGGTCGAGGTTGAACCATTGAATAACTTTAAAATACATTATATTTTAACCACTAAGATATAAAATAATAGCATAATATATATTATGCTAGAGAAAATAGCTTGTTTTAGAATGGCGAACCCATGATGTTCATTTGTTTTACTTGATGGGCAAATCCCGTGTAGGTCAGACCCATTCAACTATTTTATTTTATGATTAGCAGTTAGCCCATTAAAATCCATGCATTTGTTTATTCTTAAATTTTTTCCTTTTTAGCAATAAAAAGGAGTATTGTTTTTGCCTTTTCATATATATTTTACCACCACGGAGAAATAAAAGGACTTAAAAAAAAATTGACACTCCTGGACTCGTTTAAATCCGCATGTGTATGGTAAGTTGGCCCGTTCCACAAAGGAAAAAGAAAAAAATTGACACTCCCTATTCTACCATTCCTACAAACGCTCTTGGAGCAGAGAATTTGAAATGGGGGAAGAGTTTTTTCCTCTCTGCGATTATATGTTTTTAATTTAAAAAGATACAACAAATGTACATAGTGTGATTGGTTATGATCTTTGCTTTTCTTTAAAGTGATCAAGGTTCAAATCCTAGTAAGTGTCTTTTTAATGAATAAAAAAAAGTAATTGTGAAGACTAAAATGTCATTCCTACTTTCACTCTGGATGCAGGAAATTTGAAATGGGGCTTCAAGTTTTCTCATTTGGCTTTTATTTATTGTGTAGAGATGTAGATGTAGATTGGTGGTGAATCATGCTATTCACCTTCTGGTGTTGGTTACAATGTCGGTATCACAAAACTCTTCCTTTATACACAGAAAGAAAACAAAACCCCAAAAATACCCAATTCTCCCCACCCCCACCAATCGCCACTGTTTTTCACACTTCCACCTCAAGCCTCTCCACTCATTTCTTTCCTTCCTTTTAGGGCTTTCAATAAACAAGTCATAATCATCCTTATATTTATTTAATAATTTAGGATTTTCTGTTTTGATGGTAAACTCTTTTGATGGAGTGCTTTAATTGTTAATACAAGACTAATCTAGTTATCGAGGTGTCAGATTTTAAACTCAACTCGTCTTCTACAACTCTCTTAAATCACTCGAATTTCATAGTGCTAGCACATTTGTGAAATGTGGCATATATTCAACGAAAAAAAAATGTGGCATATAACTGCTCTCTGTTCACGATTTGTTTCTCGACCTTTTCTTCTTTCTTGGGGTTATATTGCAATTTTGTCGGAAAATGTATTGGTACGTATTCAAATAAGGATTGTATGCCACTTCTTTACTTGTCCTCTCAAGTAAAAACAATTAATTGGTTTGAGTTTTGCAAAAAAACTCACCATACCTTGTGCTGGAAATTAATATTTGAGGTCATAAGAACCCAAACACAACATTTTCAAATAAAAGCTCTAATATCATGTCAAACCCTGTTAATTTCAATACTCAATTTATTAAAAAATTCTGATATCGTTCGACAATACTATATGTAACACCCTAGGTAAATCCTACATCGACAAAACACATGGTTTATAAGAAACAATCAAACATTAACTAACAAGACGCGTTTTAACGTGAAATGAAAGAGTTCTAGTAAGAAATTTGAATTTAAACGTGCTCAATATTAACCAGTGCACAGATAAGTAGCTTTTTGGTAAGTCATTATGATGCACCAAAAGCAAAATCATGCAAGTGTAGAATTAAATCGAATAATATCTTGATAAGGAAAATGATCGGAATGTTGCAATATATGCCGCAAACAGTCTTGAATTTTTTTTTTTAATTATATATATGGTTTTTAATTATATGGATGTCTTTTTCTAATGTTTTTAACTAAACACAAAGCGATGGAGTAAAGTAGTAGCTAGTGCTGGGGTCGTCAAATGAGTCTTGTTGTACAAGTATGTGTCTGCCCTACCTCCACCTGTCCACTTCCTATTTGGTCCTCTTTGTTTCAATTTCCCCATTTTGTGTGCCTTTAAAGTGTTCAAAGAGATTTGATGTAAGTTCGCAAAAGAGTGAATCCCAGGAGCTACGATATTGTATTACAACCAGACACCTTATATTGATGGGTTTTTCGATCTGAGGTTATCAAAATAGGGTCACACCAAACTGACATCAACCGCCCTGCACCCGAACTAGACTCTGATGCTATTTGTCGAAACAAGAGAGGCAGAGAGCTCAATTAGTACGATATTGTCCGCTTTAGGCCAAACCCGCACGGTTTTACTCTTGGGTGTCCTTCTCAAAAGAGGGTCACATAAAACTGACGTCCACCGCCCTGCACACAAACTAGACTTTGATACCACTTGTCGAAACCAGGGAGCTCAATTAGTATGATATTGTCCGCTTTGGGCAAGCCCGCACGGTTTTACTCTTGGGTGTCATCCTCAAAAGGTCTCGTACTAATTGGGCTAGGTGGACACTAATATACAAGGATTCCTTCCCTTATATTACCAATGTGGTAGTTGAATTGTTTCATAACACCCATTGTATTTGCATTAGGGTGATTAATCTTGGATACCTTATGACTTATAGGAATCGATTTTAACATGTTATTCACATTTTTTTTATGATTGAGGATTCCGATATATATGCTTAAGATTATACCGAGTACTATATATATTCGAAAACTAGCAATTGAACGTACACTCATACGGCATTCCTAGGTAAGTAAACAAATTCTCTTTAAATGGTAGATTGTGTGAGTCGAACACCTAATGAATCTTCTGGTTTTTAATAGTGTGAATGAAAAGGAATAGAAAGAGAGCTTAAGGGCTCACGTATATCATATTTGTGAAACGTGGAAGTGAGTATATGAATATGAAAATCCAATAAAAATTTGTTGGACCCTCTCACCGTCGGTGTTTCTCGCTTCAGATTAATACCAAATAACTTTGGCATTACTAGTCTCGACATACCTCATCTACCGACGCAACTTTTAGGAATTGGGTTATGAGTACACCCTGGCTTCCTCCATTGTGTTCTTATTTAACTCACAAGACATATTGATGAATAATAAGTGATCCAATATTATCACAATAGCCAAATTCGATTTTCCACATTCTTCCACAATTATGACCAATCTGCAAGGAGGAGAGGGAAGAGAGAGCTAAGTTGATGAATAAAAAGGTTATATCCTACGGAACCCCTAATGTTGGCATTATTATTATTTACTATTGTTAGGATAATCATGAGATTGGGGGAATAAATAATGGGTCTTTCTTTACTTAAAGGGCTTTAAAAATGAAATCTCCACTTCACTCCCTTCCCTTCCCTCGTTGGTTTCCAATATTTAGGTAGGGGAGGGGTACTCTCACCAACCTGTTATTCTAATTCTCACATACGTACCAAAATCGAATTTGTCAATCTCGTTAATTTAGCAACACTTTAGCGTATCCAAAACTTCTACATTTGTTGCTTAAGGACCTGTCTACTCGTAGTAAACTACTTCTTTCTCACTATTCACCCTCCTATATTCTTAGCCCTTGCTAGATTAGGATATTGGTTGGTTGGTTGATTTGGATAATATGCCCACTGAAAGACTTCTGCTACCCCTTCTCCCTTTCTCAATTGTGCAAAGCTCCCATCTTAAGTGGTTCTATTATCTATTCCATGAATCAATTATCATCAAGATTTACAAGTTTTATAATCATAAATATGTCAGTACAAGGTGTGAAATTATATTTGATAATTTTTTTTGGATTGGGATTAAGAAATGGCAAAGATCAAAAGGTGTTGTAGCCTTGATGTGTAGTTGCTCGGTTGCTCCCATCCCTCCTTACGGAAGGCAAATGAAAAACTCAAAATAAGTTGGGTCATGTTTAATCAGCTCCAGTGACCAAAGACAAAGAGTCCAGCCCATAGAAGATCCGTCATTCCGTAATGAAGATGTAAGGCCAACTAAATAAAGTTAGCGAACTGCACTAGTTCTTAACTAGCAGCCTGCGAGCCCAACATCGTTAATCAAATTCAGATGCGCAGGTATCGGATAGAGTTTTTTATTTTTATTTTTTATAAATGGACGTGAGGCATCACAGCTTTTATTCACAACACGACGAGACTCAGAGAGGCCTTGACAGTCATACAAAGTGTAAACCGATAACAAAGGATCCGAAGCTGGAACAAGATGAAAACCTAGGGGAAGAGAGTGACACCGGTCAGCTAAAACATCCGCACACTTATTTCCCTCTATGTAGATATGATAGCAAGAAACTTTCCAGTCACGGGCAAGTAAAT